GCAAGCGAGGGCTTGCCAGACTGAACTGCACTCAGTAATCCTCCGGGGGCCCAGGCTGGATTTCAGGAGGATATTTTATACACAATTTTTTGATGTTTCTTAAGGCAGGATTTTAGTGAACGCAGGTTTCCTACCACATGGGTTCCCGTGCGGCTTTTCTACTCGGCGTGCAAAGGGGTACAAGAATACTGATAATCTATGCGTTAGGCTTATTACAAATGGAAATCCTACTCCAGCCCATTCCTGCGCTGGTGCAGACTCTGCTCTGCTGATTTGTCCTTCCCTGTGGTCATCCTAACTCTTTACAGGCTCAGGCTCAGCCTGTCCGAACTCTAGATCGCTGTTCTGTGGCTGTGAGGTGGATCTGTCCCTCAGAAGAGAGATTTCCCTCCACCAGAGCAGGAGACATTGTATTGTGGGAGAGTGGGAGCACTAATCACTACCTTCCCGGCAAGTCTGTGCTATCCTACAACCATCTCCCAAGACTTTCATTCTACTGCCCACAAGAAAAATGAATGGTGTTGGGCACCACCATTTGTGTCTTTAATAAAAGACACAAAGTTTGCAAATGTTTTGGCTTCAGTTTTACCTGGGGTCTCATTTCCTTTAAAAGGCAGTCTTCTCTTTGAAAGGGATGGCAATTTCTTTCAGGATTGTCACAGGATTCAAAAACTCACCAGTAGGCAGCATAATGACAGTACAAGTAAGGAACCATTCTCAGGTTCAGACAATAGATGACCATTACAACTCAGAAATGAGATCCTGGGGTTTGATAGATAGTTCTGCGAGATGGTCAAAAAAGCAACAGAAACATTAGGAGTTATTAGGAAAGCAATGGAGAAAAAAATCATTATCAGCATAATAATACCTAAAACACCATGATTCATCTACGTCTTAAATACTGAGAGTCATTCTAGTCTTCCTATCTTGGGGAGAATACAGTAGAACTGGACAAAGTTCTGAAAAGGGCAACATGAATGATCAAAGGCATGGAGTAGTTACCATAGGGCGAGTAATCGTGGATCAGCTACCGTGAGTAAGATGGGATTTTTTCAGCCTGGAGAAGAGGTGGCTGAAGGGGGAAAGTGATGGGGTTTGATAAGAAAATGGGCAGCGTGAACTGCTGGAACTAGCGAAGGTCTTTGCACATTCTTGTGTGGGAGGCAGCAAGAACCAAATGATTCCAGCAGGCAACATATTAAGAACAAATAAAAGTAAGTGTTATTACATACAACTTGTAGTTAAGCTGTGGAAGTCCTAGTCAGAGGATGCTTTGGAAGCTAAAATTTTACATAGGTTCAAAAAATGACTGGATAAATTCACAAAATAGAAGCATATTGTGTTCTCTGTATACTTAGAAACTCTCATCCACCTCAGGAAGTCTCTGGGCTGAAAATAACAGAGGTCATCATCATCATCGTTACTAGGTAAAAGTACCAGTACGTTGCTGACTGAGCTGGCTATAGATGCCTCCCTTCCCTAGACAGGTATCCATTTTTGGCCATTGCTGAAGAGCTAAATATCAGGCTAGACAGACATTTGGTTTTAGCAAGTATGGCCCTTTTTGTACGCTTGCCCCAAATTTCAGATGCTTACAGTCAGTGCCAGGAATTATTTTAAGGGTTAAATATAAGAAAAACTTGTGTGAGATTATTCAAAAGTTATGTGAAACTGGTCTAATGCCTTTTTCACCTTGAAATCTATCGTTTTAATGGGAACTGAGTCAGAGCAAGACTTAACGGTTCGTGTTGTTTTCAGCAATGTTGTTTTCCTCCACCTTCAGGTGTTAGAAACAACATTCATTTCAGGTAGGAAAAAAGGCTAGAGCAATGCTTTGGCATAATAAAGGTGTTTACTGTGAGGGAAAGCTCAGTGGTGCTGGTGACAGAGCTCTCCCAAGAGCCAGTTCTGGACTGCGGAATGAATGCTCTTAGAAAGCAGGGAGTATCATAAGTTTTGCCCTCTTTTTGCTCAAGGTGCAAAATACGTCTCCAGCCTGCTCGTCCTGAGACATCATGGAAGAGTGCCTGTCTGGCCATTGAATTCTTTTCAAAACAAGACAGGCTGCTGTAAATGCTCCTTTCCCTGAAGAGCAGGTGAGAGCAGAACCATCACTTGGTTGCTCATGTTCTTTGGAGGGTTCCTGGGAGCATCTGGCTATGACAGTACTGCCCATAGGGGGAAATCTTTGTGGGAGAGAATCCACGTTGTTTTGCTGAATTCCACAGTTTTCCATTTGAACACGAAATCTCTTTGCAATTCTCCAGGGTTGCTTTTTATTTCAGTGATGTAAGAGCTGCCTTTTACTGCCAAGCCCATAATTAAAGCAGTGTTGACTGGTAAGTAATGGGCTGCAAAAGGTGTACCAAAAGATAATTAAAGATGCACTCCAGATAAGCAGGGCATGAGCATCCTTTTTATGAGGTGTTAATGTCTGAAGACCAACTAGTGAAATTGATCTTGCCTCCTGCAGGATGAAAGTTCTGCTTAAACATCAATAGCATTGTACTGCCCTAGAAAATGTTTGATGTAGGGATTTCTAGAGGGCTGTGCTTGTCCTAAGACTCCCCAGGCAGGCGCCTGGTGACGGAGCCCATGCTGCACTGGGTAATGCGGCATCCCATTCATGCCAGCATGATTTTGGGGTCGCCTTTGCATCTCCTAACACTAGGGCTGCTCTGGAGAGAGGAGAGGAGCTCCCGATGCCCTGATGGGGACTAGGATAGATGCAAACCTTTTTTGAGAGCCATTTTAAAGAGCACTGTGGCTAGCCCCTGTCTAACAACTGTGTTGTCTCTCCTAAATGCCCTTTACATACATATCCTTCATTTTTGTTGTATTTTCAGCATATTCCACATGTGATTTGCATTCCCCTGTAGATGCACTTACACCACGACTCTGGCATAAAGGAGCATTGGCAGAGGACACAGTGGGTTTCCACATTTGGACTCCACTGACATCTATAGCAAAATTCCATGGATTTTGGTGGGAGCCTGAAGACAATCTACGCACCGAAGAGATGCTGGTTTTGTTAAGCATGCTGCTTTGGGTATTCCTGCTTCTTTCCCCACACTCTTCCCATTCCCCTATTTGTAAAATGAATCAAAAATAGAGGTGGTGGAGGGGAATACTATTTTCCCGATACAGTTTAGAGAAGAGATGGCGGAGCTCACAAACAGTTGTTTTGATTATGACTGACATGCAACAGCACGATGATGCCAAGGGAACGTGGGCAGCAAGGGCCGGTCAGTGTTATTGCCTGGATTAGGGTTTGGTCAAACTGCAGCTGTAGCAGAAATTAGCTCTTACGTTAGGCAAAGTCCATACGTCTCAGCAGAAGAGGGGGAAGAGGAGGGGGAGGCAAAGATTGCCATCTTCTTTCCTGGAATCTCACTTAAAAACAAAACTCGCAATCTAAGTCTCTATCAATTAGCATTGCAAAGAAAATCTCTGAAAATGAAGGGTGTAAAGAGGCTGCCTGGCAGAGTGCCTGAAACAATAACTCTGGGAAGTGTGAACTGCTCTCTCCATAGCCAGAGGATGTTAACAAAAGCCTGGTCTATTTGACCTAGCTAGTAGTGATGGACAGCCACTCTTCGCAAGCAGTGCAAGTCGGTGCAAGCCTCTGCTGACTCCTCCTTATCTCTTCTGCACTGGCTGTGGCTATAAGGTGTGTATGTGTGCGTTGGAGGGGGTGGCTTCCCTCTCCTTTTGAGATCAATATTGCAGGCTGCCTGCGGGGTCAGCTTTGTGTTGTAGTTATTCCTATGAGACGATGTTTTCTGCCATGAAAATTGGAAATCCAGAAAGAGAAACGACAGCATTTGTTCTAGCCTTCCCTGTGGCCAGACTGAATGAGTGAGCTCTTTGTACCCTACAAACATCCTTGGTATCCTTGATCCAGTTTATTATGCGCCCCACCGACAGTTGTACCGGAATTGCAGAGAGATGGAAAGGTCATATGCAATTCCATACTTTCTTGTGCCGGTTTAAATCGGGGCTCCCCAACTCTCTTTTACCCTCTGCTCCTGTGCACCCCCATCCCACGCTGGTGCTTGAACTAAGCTCGCCAAAAACTAACCTGGCCAAAAAAAAAAAAGTGATCAGTTTTTGGAAGGAGTAGCTCTGTGAGTTGGCTCATTTTCTAGTCAAGTGTGCGCTGGAGATGGCGTGTGCAGGACTGTGTGTGAAGCGATATGGGGGCTTAAAGGGAGGTAGAATTGCACCCCGCGTGCTTAGAACAAGGATTAGCTGAAGGCGGGTTTGCTGTAGAGAAGACTGTCAATAAAACTGTGCCACCAAGCTTTATATGTCTGCTTATTGCATCTGAGCCTTCATCCACCCTCCCTACATATGTATCTGAGTATTAAAAGCAAACTAAAACCGAAGGACTAGCAGCACACCTTGACTGTACCTAGAACTGCTGAACCACTTGCCACCTGGCTGCTTTTTTCCCTTCTCCCACGTGCAAATTCTTGCTTAAATACAAATTTATTGTTTACATGGAAAGGAAAAACTCCGAACTATCCTGGAGCTCTGGGGGAGAAAAGAAGTCCTGTGGGATGTATCTGTGCTACGACAGTCCAGCTTATGGGAATGATACGGTAGAAGAAAGGGGAGGAGTACTGAGAAAATGCTTCAAGCTGTTGTTTCCAGGTGTTTTGGGCTACACGCTGCAGTCATCCCTCAAATTCTCACTGCCTTCATATACACTGCTGCTTGAAAACATTATTTAGGTAAAGTGCTTTCTGAGGGCATTTACCTTGCCTTACGGACAGAGCTGCTAAAGGAATCCAGTCTCTGGAGTACTAGACTCACAGGGGCTGACTGTCGCCCCTGTCTGGGAGGGCATTCATTTTTGTTGTGAACCACTGTGGTGGTGTGTGCAATGTTAAAACCCTCACCCAGCTCAACCCAAAAGTGGCTGCTTGAATGGCAGACACGCCGGTCCCTGCAGAATGCAAACAGTATATAACAGCTTGCAGACTTTGTCCCCTTACCCTTTAGCTTCAGAACAAGCTGGAGCGGGTCCCAAGCCTGAAAAATGAATGGGGACATGTTGAGACGAAAAACACATGAAGTAATGATGCCACTGCTCTTGAACACCTTCAGTGATAGCCATTAATGGCCTCATTTGACAAATTATTACATTAACTAATTGATTTGCTGCTGTTCTAATCCTGTTCTAACATCTAATCCTTTTCGGCATTGCAACTGTTGCCCTGTGTAAATCCTTATGTCACTCTTGGCTCTCAAATAGTATTTCTGGCCTCTCTTTTGGATTATGATTTCACCTTGGGCTGAAAGCACAGACCTTGCTTGTTCTGTACATGACCTGGATGAGTAGAGCTGTCTGGAGGAAAAAAAAGCAGCCCTAGGAAAGGAAAAGGTTGTGCTGAGCTCTTCAGCACACGCTCGGGAGGGAGACTGCTCCTTGCCCCCCAGGTGACCGCAGAGTGCGCTGCGGCTTTGTCCTCTACTGTGACCGGTGGGGTTTGATGCAATGTCTAGTAAAGCCACCAGCGTTTTATTTAATGCAGTTAAGTCGATGAGAAACGTCCCACGGATGGGAATAGGAGCGGGGTAACTAAACGGGGAAGACAAGGAGTCGTCGCCCGGGTGCAGTAAGAGCTGGGATGGTTTCCCTTCAGGAGAAGGGCAGTGTAGAGGCCTCCCCGCATCCGGGGGATCCCCGGATTTCCACCAGAGCCCCAGGCCTGCGGTGCGGAGAGAAGGGGAGCCTTCTCAGAGGGCCGAACCCAAGGCGAAAGATAACTTCATTAAATTATCCACTCTCCATTTGAATTAAAGAAAGGCGGATGGGTTTGTGGCGGCGGCGGGGGCTTCGCTGGGAGACGCTTTGGCTCCTTCGATGGGGCGAGACCTCATTATGTGTATTTTGGTGATGGGATGACAATGGAGGTGTGGGAGACGGCTCTGAGTCACCCTCGGAGGGCCGGCGGACCAGGCGCCATTGGCGGGGCCGG